CATGCACACACACACACACACACACACAGACATGCACACACACACACACAGACATGCACACACACAAACATGCACACAAATAAATGGAGATAACATGAGTGTTTTGATTTTGGAGTGGGGGTAGTGGTTGGGGTCTCCCAGCTCCAATTCCAATAAAATTAATAATTATGCAATAACTGGATTGATTGGAACTCAACTGTGTCACTGCTTTTATAAGTCACAACATTTTACCTTCTCCCTTAGCTAACATGTACTCTTTCAGATGCCCTAAAGAGGTACCACTCCTTAAATGTCACACAAAGCATTTTCAGAACAGATTTTTTACCTTATGCGATTAGAACTTGGGATGCATCAAATGAACTATGAATGATATACCCAGATTTGACTGGATCTTAAATTCTATTTATTTACAATACTGTAAAAAAAATAGTGCTATTTCAACTTTTCATTTTGTTATTCAAGTCTTTTCAATAAACATTATCATTTGGGATACCTGTATTACAACATTTCCACAGGTAGCCCAAGCCAAGCAAGTTAGATTGAACGATTATTTTAGACTTTTTCAACCACAATTATATCAAACCATATAATTACATTGTTTTTTTTTTAAATACAAAGCGTTTAAATCTTACCTTTTTTTATGAAACGTGGTTTTCCTTTCAAGTGCTAAAAGTTTCCGATAACAAGCAAATCTTGTACGACATCGCTGTTTCGAAAACAGAAAGATTGGGAGACATTTTGATGATTTGAAGGCCTTGAAGCCAACTTATTGAAACACTGATAAAATATTAAGCACGTAATTGGTTATTTACCTTCTTCTTCCAATATTTTAGCAAAGAATTTTTAAAAATTCTGAAGCGCGCGAAATTTCGTTCTTCATCCATGCTGCCGCGTTTGCTGCTGTGTGACAAATACGTAATTTACTGGGGAGGTAAGGGGYACCAATTTACCAGAGCACAATCTTACCCTCCCCTTCCATATCAACAGATTTGTCGACAACATGAAAAGAGCATTCGACTGCTCAAAAGGGACGACAAGTGCTGATATCGCCACTTTTACTTCCTTGAACCGTACAAACCGTACAATATGGCTTCTGCAAGGCCAGAAGAACGGAATTTTAAAGCAGTTTTGTCCATGACTCGATCGGATGACTCTTCACCAGTTTTTTTTAAAGTTGATGGTGAAAGATTCAAAGAAAGTCGCACACTGAAACTTCAAGTGGATACAAGTTACAAAGTTGGCCTTGAATTTAGACCTCCCATGATTTTAAGGTAAAATATGTTTTCATATCTAAGTAATAATATGTTCAAACAGTGAATGCTCAAAATTGCGCTTTTATTTGCAAATGATCCTCAAACATTCGCCTCTTGTGCAGATGTTTATAGAGCTGTTTAGTTAATTATTACTTGTATGATCGCCCAAACTTGATTATAAGCTTAGGTAATAACGCTTTCATTTTGTATCTCTAAATCGTGTTGATACAGAATTCAATTCAAAGCCACAATTCATGGATGATTATTATCCAGGGTTTTTTTTTCTGGCACACTGATTTTAAGAGAGGCAACTATGCATGCAGATTCAATGGTTCGATCTGGTCACGAGGCGTTTCTGCCTTATTGATTAAATTGAATAACATTTACAAGCTGGAAACTTGTATTTTAACACGATAAAGCAAGATATTCTTGTTTTTATAGCAATCAATAAATGTTAGATCACAAATTCTGATCAATATGCAAAGTAATTCCTTTTTAAAAGATTTTTGATGATTGTCTTGAGCCATCAAGAACCATGAAATTTAGGAATTTAATGGAGGTGGCAATAAACTTGCAATAAACTTGCACATTTGTTTGTTATGTCGAAGCAAAATTGAAATTTTTTTGTAAGATTTTTGTTCTTATTTTATGGCGTTTTTTTTCATTTTAATGTTTTCCCATACATTTATTTCAGTAGCCAGGGGAACCGGCACCCCATCCTCACGCTGTAGAAACCTACCGATGTTCTGAAAATGGGTTTTGGGCCCTCCCCCCTCCCTAAGTCAATTCCTGGCTTCGCCTGTTGCACATTGCTTGCTGCATGCATCTTTATAAGTAAATAATGCCAACACAAAAAACTCAAAACACTCAAACCTGGAATTTTAAGAGTGGTTTTCATTGACTCTTGAAACAAAATGTACTAATTAGATAATGTAATAGTCAACCAGACACAATTATAGAAAACAGTGGAAGCAAAGTGTGTTAATACAGGTTAATGAATACCACTATGCATCACAACAGAAAAACCACCACTCACCACTCAACACTATCGTCCGGGTTCAAGCCCTGGCTCAGACTGGATCATATGCGAGTTGATTTTGTTTGATGTGTTGTTCTCTCCCTTGCTACGAGGGTTTTCTCCGGGATCTCCGGTTTCCTCCCTCCGTAAAAAGCAACATGTGAGTTGAGTGTTGAATGTTGTAAATATAGAATGTAGTGGTAGGGTGTGTGGAGGGAACCTCACGGAAGAGCCCTGCATGGGGAGTGGTGGTTGTAAAATATATAAGTTTATATATGGTATACATAGAATTGGATTATATTTCTGAAATGGACTACTGCTTTAATTTTACCATTATCGTTTTTTCCAATATTGATTTTAGTGATGCCACTATTTCTGGTAGCTCAATCAAGCCAGAAATAAAAAAGAACGACCACAGCTGTACGAGTTATGACTGTACACTTTCCACCCATGGTATGTCATCCTCTAAGAGTAAAGACCGTTCCTACATGGTCCTTTGCCTAAAGTTTACAGACCAGCATGAAATGACGATACAGATTCAGACCAAGTTGTATTCACAGAAAGACAAGAATCACGTTATGTGGGGTTCCTGTCTCAAGTCTCTAGATTTTGAATGCAAGATGAAAGATGGCCAGAATTTTGTTGATGTACAGAAAATTAATTTCAGATAAACTCTCAAAAATATAGAAGTATGCGAGATTAATTTTTAAAAGTCTTGGTGGTTAAGATTGTTTTTGTAAATTATCATCAAAAGTGACATTTTGCTTGACCAAATTTAATATAATATGCAAATATATATTAGACACATTAATTAGACTACAAGATAACATGTCAAACACTTTTTTATTAATCTTTTATTAAATCTAACAAAACTGGCACAAGTATTAATTAATAAAATTATTTTACTAAATGTGATACAACTTTTATTAAATTTATAATACAATGAGTTATCTTAGATATTGATCTATTTATTTGTATTTGTTTCTTAATTAATTTGTTGCATTGTTGCATAAATATTTTATGCAAACACACTTATAACCTCACTCCCAAAAACAAAGAGGTCTTATCAATTCTTAAGATTCCTAATGAATCCTACATTACTTAGTATTAAGCAGGAGTGACAGAAACTCTGGAACTAAAGATAGCTTCCTACATGTTTACTTAATGATCTAGGCAACATTTTTTCTTTAAATGCTAGTTGTAAAATATTGCCCAAACATATGAAGCTTTGGTAATTTTGATTATTTTAATCATTGATGTATGAATCGAAAATTGAGTCTAATATTAATTTAATTTATGTTATGTCTTTAGATCAATAAGTATGAATATGGTTTCAATCAAACTATATGAATGTATAATTATACCAGAAATTTTTTTCTTTCTTTAATAATGATCAAAGTTTGAAAAAAATTTTTTTTCACAAATCCTATCACTATAAACTTATAAATACACCTATTTCAAAAAACATTGTTGGTCGTAGATCTGAAGTGTGAGACCAAATTGAATTGTGGGTTGTAAGCTGTAGATTGTTTTGTGGTTTTAATGAGTAGTTCGCAAAAAGTTAATATCCTGATAACACTAACTTTGAGCGATGACCTGCGCTGGCAAACTATCTGGCTAGGTGTATATTGAATTTTGAATGAGAAAACATTCAGTCCCCCACAATTCCAATCAGTCTCAGATTTTTAATTTCAGATATCCAACCGACAACGTTTTGGAAATAGGTGTGTATATAGTGTTAAATGAAGCAAGTCTGATAAATCTTGATGTATTAATAAATGTTTTTTTAAAATAGGTGTATATAGCRTTAAATGAAGTAAGTCTGATAAATCTAGATGTATTAATAAATTTAAAAAGTACTAATTTGAAATAAATTTAGTTTTATAAATTAGAGTGATTTCATTGAACCTGTAAAAGAGAGATGAGACTAGCAGTCACAAATTTTTTTTTTTCTTTCAATTTTTTATATAAATTCTACAATGTATTGAACTATAAACTTATTATGCATAAATACTGTTAAATTATGCAAGTCTAGTCAAGTCTTAGCATCTAGTATTAATAAATTTAAACAGTACTAAATAAATATTTAGATTTACAAATGAGAGTGATGCCATTGAACCTGTGAAAAACAAAATACTAGCAGGCAAATTCTGTTTTTTTCTTCAATCATATTGCTATTACATTTATATATTATAGGTTGAGAGTGTTGTAGACTTGAGCCCATAGACCGTTTTCTCAATGTTACATGCGCATCCAACTTGATGGGCCGCATAGCTGAAAAAATGCAAATTCAGTAAAATTGAGAAGACAGTTTTATCTTTAAAGAGAAGAATAATCAATTTTATGAATCTTTATCAAAAAAATTCATAGCAATGCATGATAATACTTGTGTTCGGGTATCTGTGCCTTTCAAGTTCCTTAAATTTGAATGCGCATGCAACCTTGAGAAAACAGTCTGTTGCCCCCATGATGAAATATGGTTTTGGTGGATGTCAATCAAAGTGTTTCCATTTCAAGCATACATGCATATAATATGGAATATCATTGAAACAACTTGATTGATGCTTAGTTTGTTATAATGACAATTCTGCACACATCATTCAGCTAAGTACTGTAATGGGTTCAATGGAAATCACCATTTTATAAATTATCTTGTTACCTTGACTACTAATAAATAAACCTAACCAATGTAAAGGTTTTGGCCTCAAGCAATTGATATCTAACTACAATGCATTTTATTGCATGTTATGCAAAATTAATTAATATTAAATCCAAATTACCAATTGGTACTCAAGTATGACCAACACATATTAACAAGTTTTTTTACACTACAAAAAATCTACCAATAAACAAATGACTAACCAATGATTATTAATGACAGACAAACTGCTCATGTTACCAAAGAATTTATAATTGCTGCTGCTAAGCAATTAACAGAATACTGACAAAATGGCAGTTTTCATCCAATCTTGGCGCTTGAACTTCATTTTAATCACTCACTGCATCCTGTATATTGTTTTCTAAACATCAGGAACCTGCATCTTCACCTTCAAGGGCTCATACTTGACCCTCGGCACTTTCTTTTTATACCTCCAGTACATAAGATTGCACTCTTTCCTGTAGCAAACAAGAATCGAGATCACCATGGCCGCCGTAAGAATCCCAAATGCAATCATCAGTCTCTGCGAGTATGGCATATCAAAGGTGTCTCCAGGTAGACCTTTACCATGGGATGGTGGCCCAAGAGTGGGTGTGGTTGGGATTGAATACACCCACATGTCGTTTAGTAGTCCTGGACGTTCATTCTTGTCTTGACCTATGCCGCCAAAAATCCAGAGGTTACCCCCTTGTCGGAATGTCAGGGAATCTTCTCTTGGCCCTGGCATATTTTTGGGATCTGGGACTCCTTTCTTGCCATAAACAGCTTTCTCGTTTTTCTTTGAAGGCCCACTAATCCAGGACCATGAGGCAGATGATGTATTAAACATCCAGAGATCAGACAGTAATCCTGTATTAGAAGCATTTGAGGTGTGAGCATCACACCCCCGGCCCCCGAACAACCACAGATGCCCCTTACTATCTGTCCAAGATAATGCTTCTTCTCTGCAACCAGGAAGTGACAGGTTCCCTGGAATACCCTGGTTACCATAGACCCCTTTTTGCAAGGGCTTTTTCTTTCCTTTAACAAATTCCCATGTACGCTGGGAGGGTCTGTAGATCCAGAGATCTGACATAGATCCCAAGACACTCTGTCCTCCAAACAAGTAGAGTTTGTCAGGATGCTGTAGCCAACTTGAAGACCCAAACCTTGCTGTTGGTGTTGGGGTGTTTTTGAGGGGTGTAATCTGGGTCCAATTCATGTTTTGAAAGTTAAATTGCCACATATCATTGAAGTCTTTAATGCTGTAAAGCCCTCCATAAAGCCACAAGAACCCCTCTTTATTGTCACACCAGTAAGTACTCTTCTCTCGTGCTGGAGGTGAACTCTGCTCCAAAACAACCCAGCTCTTTAAAGTCAAGTTTAGCACCCATGTCTTGAAGTTCAGGCTTTTCTTGCGTGTCACAACTCCTCCAAATAGGACTGTAATGTCCTTGTGGCTGCAAGACACACAATCTACACAAGATGAAGGCCAGGATTTATTGGAAGCTACAGTTTTGTTAACTAATGCCCACTTCTTCTTTAAAGGATCAAAATTCCAAAGCTCATCAAGAGATTTTATTGCCTTGGGCTCATTTACTCCATATCCCTTGCCTCCAAACATCCATACTCTGTTATTTTCATCCTTCCAGGCTGTTACGCCATGTCGTGCACCAGGAAACTCTTTATCCCCTGTTTTCTTCACTTTTACTGAGCTGGGGGAATTTGCAGTGTTATTTCCATCAATCCATACCCAGTGGCCTACAAATAAACAGAAACAATAGAAATGAGGTATAGCTACACTTACTGATCCAGGAGTTGATAGAGGGGTTAGAGGATGGGGGGCAGGTGTAGAAAAGGGGGACACTGATATTTTTACAGGGAGAAGGGTGAGGGATGAGGTTTTGCAAACTTGTACATAAAAATATGTTTCATGAAAGTAGGTCATTCTATCTAGCAGCTTAGTATTGATCAATCGATTGATTGTGGTTGTAATGAGTGATCAGTCAAGCACCATAGATCAATCATCCTCAACCACTGTTGATCTAGGTCAAGTATTGTTAATACTGCCCAGTCAAATATTTC